GTCACGGGGTCATTACTCTCTCCCCCATAAACGCGCTTATGAGATGTGCAGCACACCCGCTTTTAAAGAGCCCAGGACCTCTCGTTCTTATCCGATGTGGGATAGAGGCACTTTCCTCGTGACACTCTATTCAATTCATTTAATAGAAGTTCAGCTTTTTTTTTTCCAGCATTCTCTTCTTTTTTCTTCCTTTTCCTTTTATGCAAGTTTGTTTACCTGCTTAAAGTCATTGTATGCGTGTGCGGGTGCCGGAAAGTAGTGTGTTACGTGTGGGTGTGTTGAGTGCTTGCTAGGCGAGTGCTGAAGCACTAAGGCTGATTTGAGTTCCAATATCAGGATAAGAGTTGAATCCAAAGCCGCACTGAGTGAGATATGAAGAACCACCCTGTGACATCATGCCCCGTTGTCATTTCTATCATTGAAAACTGCGATCATCTCTCATGTGTTGCTTCTTGGAGTTTGATCTTTTGGGGCTAAATTTTCCATTGATGAGGTGTATTAATTGGCCGTCTTCCTTATTCAAGTGGTACAAAAGAAACGATGGTTTGTGACCTGTGATTTCTATGGGGATTAGAAAAAGAAATTGTTTTAATTAAAAATGTGGGATATGCATGACTTGGTATATATCTTTGGTTAAATTTCTGGATCAAGGGAACGAAGGCAGATGACAATGTTTCTGACAGAATTCGAGAATCACAGCTAAAGCATATGCTTTCAAAGCCGTCACTGTGCAAGAAGGACGTACAATTAATGGAAACCTCTCCAAACCTATTCCCTATATTGCAAATTCTCTGGCCAAAATAGATGTCCGTAGAAACAAAATGTTTGTAACCTAATGCCAACAGGGTGGTATATATAAATACTTTCTATTGGGATAGAAATTAGTCATGATTTAGTTTATTTAGATGATTGTCTTGTTCTCAACTTATGATTCACGTGTTTTGTGGACTAATTATTGATATTTATAACGATTTGTTTTTAGTTTTGATTTGGATGTACTGTAACTACAATTTATGTTAACAGGATTACATTTTAACTAGTTTGATTTTGTACCGTGTGCAATAGTTTAATAATTTTTTTAAATTAGTAAAATAAATTATAAGTTAATTAATTATCATATGGCTAAACCAATATATATATATATATATATATATATATATATATACATATGTATGTATCAAATAAAGAAAAAGACAAAATTATGAAAACAAATAGTATTTTCCTAATTAGTATAGGGCTGGTGCTACTTATATCCTTTTCTTTTCGCCCCTACGATTATTTTGGGAGGGACAAGTTGTTGTTCCCTATTCTTCTTAATACATCGCATGCAAATATTCACTTAATGGTGCCATTTCTTTTTCCTACCTCTCTCACTTGGCAAGTCAAGATGAGGAGCAGATAGCAAGTCAGGTAGTTTACAAATCAAGAGGGAGAGACAAAGTTTGGAAATTATGGCCACCTGGGCCATGTGAAGCTCCTCCTAATAAATATTCTAGAAAACCAACAAATACCTTCTCTGTAGTATCAGGCTAAGGTCACAAAACAAAGATATTTGGTTCACACGGTATTAATGCAACATATCCCTTTCCCCACCAACAGATCAGAGCCTTTTTTTAGACTAGAATCATGTCATCAACATAGCATGATAAGACGTGCCTCAACACCCACAAGAGGAAACTTGCAGTAAACCATGGAATGTCAATGGTATCTATACTTGGCCAGTTCTCGCCATCAAATAAACCATTGTCAAGAAACAAAAGGGATTTTCTTAATTTTATTACAAAGAAAACAAGGTTTAATATTATTGTAACAGAGCATCACCTTTTCAAACAGAAGTTGAATGTGAGTACCCATTGACATGAACCTTAAAGCTACTTAAACACTTCAGCAAGATATACAGAATAAAAGTTAAAAGTTCAACCCTGAACCGCGTAGCTTCTCCTCCATGATGTTGTCAAGACGCGCACCCATCTCAGCAGTCAAATGATTTCTCCAATCTCCTATCTTCCCCTTCCTAAAATATGCACTATTTTCAAGAAACCCGTCCTTCTTCACTTGCTTCCCGGTCTTATTAACGTCTAGGTTGCTCAAATTCTCAAAGCTACAAAACTTGATGATTCCCTGTACTATTCCTTTTCTTTCTTCCTCTAAGGAGAAAGGGCAGTCGAAGAACTCAGCCAATTTCTTTACACATGCTTCAGTGTCGTTGGTCATGTCTTCATATTTCAAGAATAGTATTTTGTCAGGGCGTTCCAAGCTTTCTTTCCAGTATCCTAATACATGTTCCCAGTAAGGTCCATAGGAAGACAACCCTTTGCAGAACAACTCAAAGGCCTCCTCTATGGAAACAAGTCCCCCCTCCCTTGGTTTCTTATTTTTTAGCTTTCCGAAGAAGTGCCACATGGAAACAAACGTATCCTTTGGATCTCGACAAAGGTAGACGATTTTGCAACCTGAATCTATTATAGATTTAGGCAAGAGTGTGTAAGGAAGGTGTGAAGCAAAGAGTGGGATTCTTGGCCCTTCTGCAGTTGAGTACTCACCATATTCCAAGAAGGGAATGCAATCGTGAGGCACTATGGTTCGGAGAGGGCTCGTGGATTCGTCATACTGACCTCTGGTTGCAATGGCAAAACTCAAAGACTTAAGCCAAGTGCAGCCGGTTTTCATTGCACTGCACAAGAAAATATCACTTGGTTGAGCCTGGAAGTGATCTTGAGCATACATGGCTCCATCCAAGAAGAAAGGATGGAACCAAAAGCCTTTGTATAAACAAAGATGAAAGAAGGGACTCCATCCATCTTCTTTTAGAAGAGTTGATATCTCCTCTCTGTATTTTTGCAGGGATTCCGTAGTGATATTGGATGCAATAATTGATTTTGAGGGGTAGGAGAACTCCATTAACTGGTAGTAAATAAGGATGTATATGTAAAAAAATAGAAAAACCGCCTTGCTTTTCTCTTGGTGGGAGAAGCTATATGACCAAGAAAATATTCAACACTGCGATGTGCGTGGAAAGGTAGATATGCTTGCTTTCTTTATAAAGTGTCGAGTATATGATCTTTAACTCCCCAGAGTAAAATAAGGGAAATGATTGAAGTACAATGAATAAATAAATACTATAGTAATATTTGTCTCAATTTTAAAACTCAAGTTTTTCTTATACAATTTTAATATTAAATTTGTATATATACAAACACGATTAGATAAGCTTTTTTTTATTGTGAAAATCATGAGATTATAATTGGTGCTCACATTGCTTCCCAATTCTTATACCATATGTTCAACCCTATTTATGACAGTAATAATCAATGAGACCCCCAGTAAGGTGAGAAGTCCTTGTAAGGAGTCCATGTTGTTGTCTGTGTCCTGTATTTTTGTTAGTTATGCTGTGTGTTTGGATAGGGCAGTGACTGACAAAATGCTGTATTTAGATTAATTTTGTTGTCTTTGGGATTCCTAGGGCTCGTGTAGTTTGCTGGGTATTTTTCAGCAGAGTATTGCCTAGAGGTTTGAACTCATTATGCCCCAGTGCTGCATAAAGACACCAAACTTTCTCTGTTTTTTCACCGGCCAATGGCCCTTTAATGAACAACAACCTTTCAAAATAAAAAATAATCAATGAAACTCAAACTTTATTCTAACAAAAACTAAGAAGCATATAAATTATTACAGGTTCACAGCTTAATTAATTATAATTCCAAACAACAAAAAGATATGGTGTGATCAATTATTTCTTTTCAATCTTGCGGTGAGACACGAAATATTAATCCAGATCCACTAAGCTTTTGCTCCATGATATTGTCAAGACGTTCTCCCATCTCAGTTGTTAAGTAATTTCTCCAATCTCCAACCTTCCCCTTCCTAAAATATGCACTGTTTTCAATTAACTTGTCCTTCTTCTGATGCAGACCGGCCTTGTTGACCTCCAAGTTGCTCAAATTCTCAAAGCTGCAAAACTCTATAATTTCTTGTATTCTGCCCCCTCTTTCTTCCTCAGAGGAAAAAGGGCACCCCAAGAATTCAGCTATTTTCTTTGCATATGGTGCAGTCTCCTTCATCATGTCTTCATATTTAAGGAACAATATCCTCTCAGGATGTTCCAAGCTCGCGTTCCAGTACCCCAATACATGTTCCCAATAAGGTCCATAGAAAGAGATTCCTTTGCAAAACAGCTCAAAGGCCTCTTCCACTGAAATGAGGTCTCCCTCCTTGAGCTCTTTGAAACTATTTCGTGTGACCTTTCGCAAGAAGTGCCATAGAGAAACGAAGTTATCCTTCGGATCTCTGCAAAGATAAACAATTTTACAACCTGAATCAATTACAGACTTAGGCAAGCATGTGTAAGGCATGTGGGTGGCCAAGAGCGGGAATCTTGGGCCTTGCGAAGCTGCGTACTCCCCATAGTCCAAGAACGGAATGCACTGGTGCGTAAAGGTGGTTTGGAGAGGGCTGGTATAATTGTTGAATTGGGTTCTGGTTGCAATAGAGAAACACAAGGCCTTAAGCCAAACAGTACCGGTTTTTACTGAGCTGCAGAGGAGAACATCGGTAGACTGAGCCTGGAAGTGATCTTGAATGTACATGGCTCCTTCTAAGAAGATAGGGAAGAACCAAAATCCTTGGTATAGGCAAAGAGGCTGCATTGGTGTCCAAGCAGTTTCTTTAGGAAGAGTTGAAATAATCTTTCGGTATTCTTCCTGGGATTCGGCGGAGATATTGGCGGCGAGATTTGTTTGAAAGGGGGAGGAGAATTCCATGTTGTTAGGGAGAAATATGTAAGAGGTATGAAGTAGAGAGAGAGAGACTGCTTTTGTTTGGTGGGAGCCAGAATATGGTGAGCACTTGGATGGGGAATGGAGTATATTTTTGCTTTCTTTATAAAGAAATTGGAGGATTATTTTTTAGGCCGGGTTCAATTATACAAAAGTTAGACAAATAGATAGATTAAATTATATATTGCATATTACATGTTATATGTTATTATTCTGTATAGCAAAGTTGCAATATTCTTTCATACCAAAACTTAATTGAAAATTTCTTGAACTTCACTTAAAAGTTAAAACTAGCCTTCCCATGGCCTTGCATGTTGAGGAATAATACTTGCATGGTAGCAGCAAATAGATGTTATTCTGATAACACATTGTCCTCTATTTTGATTTAATTTGCTTTGTTGTACTGATAGTTAATATTAAAGTTATATTTGAGTTGTCTTTTGATGGGTTGGTTTGCATGTAACTCAACACTTACACTTGTCAAATATAGATACAGGTGTTTTTGTGTAGACAAAGCATATAAACTTTATTTTTTTGTATTAATGAAATAATTTCTGATCATTATCTCCAGTACATATACACTGCTCTTTCTCTCTTCATAACATTAACATTGCACCACCCTCTTCTCCTGCGGCTGAAAACCAAAATTCCTAACACTATATATTTCCCTATCAAACAACTCCATTAGATAACTTTCATCTTTGTAAGTTGTTTTTATACCTTTTCCTGAAAGTTACAGTCACAGCTTTCTCAAATTTAAGTGCAGCCATTAGTTACGAGGGAAACTTGATTTATAATTTTAACAGAGCATCACCTGCTATTTCATCAACAAGAAGTTGATTTTAAGTAGACATTATTGACACCCAACATTAAGCAAATAGATTTACAAATTCAACAACGAATGGAAATTGAAAAGAAAACAAGAATAATCATGATGAACAATCTTTTTCACTTTTTTCTGGTCATTCTTGAGGTGAGATGTGGAAGGTCAACCCGGAACCACTTAACTTCTCCATGATGTCGTCAAGGCGCATTCCCATCTCAGCTGTTAGATAATTCCTCCAATCTCCAACCTTTCCCTTTCTGAAATATGCATTATTTTCAACAAACTTGTCCTTCCTCACTAGCTTTCCGGTCTTATTGACCTCTAGGTTGCTCAAAATCTCGAAACTGCATGACTCTATAATCTTTTGTACCGTGCCTTCTCTTTCTTCCTCCAAAGTGAAAGGGCACCCAAAGAACTCAGCCAGTTTCATTACACATACTTCAGTGTTTCTCTTCATATCTTCACAGTTCAAGAAAAGTATCTTGTCAGGGCGTTCCAGGCTTACCTTCCAATATCCTAACACATGCTCCCAGTAAGGTCCATAATAAGACATTCCTTTGAAGTAGTGCCACATTGAAACAAACGTATCCCTTGGATCTCTACAGAGGTAGACAATTTTACAACCTGAATATACTATTGATTTAGGGAAGCACGTATACGGAGGTGCGCAGCAAAGGGTGGGATTCTTGGCCCTGGCGCAGTGGAGTACTCACCGAACTCCAAGAAGGGAATGCAATCGTGGGGCACCCGTTTTTGGAGAGGGCTTGTGGATTGTCGAACTGGGTTGTGGTTGCCATGGAGAAACTCAAGGCCTTTAGCCAAGTGCAGCCTGGTTTCATTGGGCTGCACAAGAAAATATCACTGGGTTGAGCCTGGTAGTGATCTCGAGCATACATGGCTCCTCCCAAGAAGCAAGGAGAGAACCAAAATCCTTGGTATGAGCAAAGAGCCCGCTGCTGGAAAGGACTCCAGCCATTTTCTTCAGGAAGAGTTGATATTTCCTCTTTGTACTTTTATAAGGATTCCGGGGAGATATTGGTAGCGAGAATTGGTTTTAACGGGGAGGCTATTTCCATTGGTTTTAACGGGGAGAATGTAAAACTAGCAAATTGGTTTTCATGAAAATTGTAACTGTCTCTTAGCTTTCCAATAATTGAAGAATCGCATTATTTGAAGTTTTGTAGTGAAAGTTTTAAATAAAATATTGAAACATACGATTTTCATTGGACTGCACAAGAAAATATCACTGGGTTGAGCCTGGAAGTGATCTTGAGCATACATGGCTCCTTCCAAGAAGCAAGGATAGAATCAAAAGCCTTTGTATAAACAAAGATGAAGTGAGGATACAAATATGATTATTGTATTCATGTTTTTACATAACCCATTTTCCATAAAATTCATATTATTATTCATAACGTTCGGGTTACGTCTGGCTTAAGAAAACTTTAATGGATAAAAATTAAAAAGAAAAACTGAAAATTTGAAAGAAAAAAATAATTCAATCAAATCCTGATACTTTGATATATATATATATATATATATATATCTACATATATAATATTGAGAATAATATAAGTATTCTAATCAATCTATCTATATATGATTATTATTATTAAGACAAACACGTATTTGTTTTTATATTTAAACTAAATCCCAATATATTCAATAAATTCATAATTTGACAATTTTAGATATGATATGGGTCCAACCTTTCCTAACAAGCTAGAAAGATAGAAGATGAATAGAAGTGATCATTAAGTCAATTTGTTGGATGGTAGGCAGGCACCAGGCAGACAGTTTATCCCGTTTTGACAGCTCATGCTAGCTTAGAGTTGATTTGGATGTCATACAAATGCAACCAAAATTTAAAGATCCCTCATATTCACGTCTTGCAGCATGCCTTGCTTTTTGTGTACGAGAGTGTAAGTGGCCTATTAGATGATCTCTCTGAATTTTAGGGGAGGGCACATTCTATGAATTTGACCCAAGTAGGGGCAGGCCAATGGACAGGTCTAGTAGGTGGGTTATATAGCTGGTAAGCCTTTCCAAATGCTCCGATTGAAAGCTTCTAGCCGGTGCCTGTAGAGGTGTAGCTGGCCGCTGCTTCTCACTACCGCACACTTTTTCTTCTAGGTATATATAATGCGAAATGATGTCCATTCTCCATGAATTTGTATGAGGATGGGAATTGATATTATGCCTATTTTAATATTTGATGAGAAACAATGCAACAGCCAAAGAAAAATGAAGATCTTCTGCAACACTCTATGGCCTATTTGTTAAGGATGACATGAAATATCAAAAATGAAAAAAATTGACATGTTACAGTCCCATGCACACCATGCTGGCAATGACCAATTATAATCAGAGAATTAATTAGATTGTCACCAATAATCCAAACAAGAACAAGTTCCCTCTTTAAAATGATGAAACCGGTTTCGGTCTCTTATTACAATCTCTCTTCCATATATTACTGAAATAAGCTTAGCACTTTCATGGCAATCACTACAAACCCGAAGAGTTTTAATGATCCGGATAGGGGCAGTTGAATCAGAAGCAATCAGAGCAAATGCAATCGCTAACCTTTCACTATGATAAGTAAGGGCATCTTCTTTTTCCTCCTCATCTATGTCAAACAACACTTCTTTGGTTCTTGGATTATGGCCATATTGCTGTAGCCTTCTGCCAACTTCTTCGAGCTTCGAATAGATCTCTGATGTACATGGATGTGTCTTGTCTCCAATGAGGAATTCATGTGGCACCGTTAACCTCAACCAAACTACTTCCCGGTATTTTGTTAATCCGATGATCTTTCATTAATTTCCTCATTCTCTTAACATCTTCCCATCTATCAATGCTGGCATACATATTTGATAAAAGCACATAGTTCCCACTAGTTCCCGGCTCCAACTCTATTAACTGCTTCAATGCAACTTCCCCAAGCTCCAAATTCCCATGAACCCGTGCTGCCCCAAGTAAAGACCTCCATAAAATTGCATTTGGTTTCATGGGCATTTCCCTGAGCTTTTCCTCAGCCTCCTGAACCCTGCCAGCTCTACCTAAAAGGTCAACCAAGCAGCCATAATGCTCAAGTCTTGGCTCCTTTCCATAAACCTCCTTTATAGAATCAAAAATCTTGCAACCGTCTTCTACCAACCCAACATGTGAGCAAGCACACATTATAACGATAAATGTCACATCATCAGGAGCTAACCCTTGTAACTTCATTTTCTCATAAAGTTCAAGTGCCCTGTGACCATAACCATGAATACCAAACCCTCCAATCATTGCATTGTAACATAATATGTCCCTTTCAGGCAATTGATCAAACAGCTGATATGCCAAGCCCAAACACCCACACTTTGAGTACATGTCTATTAAAGCGGTACCCACATAGTAATTCAACTTGATACTGTACTTTAATACATAAACATGTGCCCATATACCTTGGGTAAGAGCACCTAAATTTGCACAAGCACTGATTAAAGCTGCTAGGGTAACTTCATTTGGCTTAACTAAAGAATGTTGCATCTCATTGAATAAATATAATGCCTCTATTGATAAACTAGAGTCCTCACCGGTTATATTACTATTATTACTAACATAATAACTAGGACTATTTCTACGTGCATATGCAGATAAAATGGAGTTCCACGTGGCTAAATCTGGTTTGCTAATCTGATCAAACATATATCTAGCCACACCCAATTTACCATAATTGGCATAGAAATTAAGTAATGAGGCGTGAACAAAATTATCATATGTGGGTTCAAGGAATTTTAAGACATGGGCATGGAGGGCTAGACCATGGTGCAGCCAAGGGTGAGAGCCACAAGCCTTGAAGAGAGATGGGTAAGTGTGGGAATTGGGTTTAACTGTTTCGTTACAAAGAATTCTTTCATAGAGGGAAAAGGCCAGGTGGGTGTGACTTCTTTGGTTGGTTATAATTGATGAAATGAGAGTGTTGAAGAGGAAAATTGTTGGGTTCGGGATTTGCTTAAATATAGCGAGGGCATGGAACAAGGCTAGAGTGGACGATACGTAGAGGAGTTTGCTGAGAGGGTAAGTGTGGAGAGTGAGGCCAGTCGTTATCATGTGGGCATGGACTTGCTTGAGAGAGTAAAATGTCTTGCATTTTGATAAATAAGTTAAAGTTGGGTGTGTGAAGATAGGGTTTGAAGAATTCATCAGCAAATGAACCTGCGTAAATGGGTGATTGAACTCCGAGGCTCATGGAGAAAATATGAGAAATGGAGAGAGCATGACCACTAAAAGCATATAGGGCTATATCGGGCTGGAACTTGGCCTTCTGTTTTTAATCATCTTCTGGCTTCTAGTTCTGAATGTAAGCCCAATGGAATCCCAAATTTGGGCTTTGAAGGTCTTCATATGTTAAAAACAGATGACCCATGTTTTGGGTTAGGTTTTTATATGCATTACAACAAAATTTGATCGACAAAAGTAGTTAACTTCGGCCAAGTTTCATCAATTTTTCTTGACTCAATCATAAGTATGTTGAACCTTAATTGACAGAGGTATCTATGTATTCTCAATAAAGTTGGTCCTGTTATCATTGTAAAACGTGTTTATCATTAAGTTATTAATTTAATCATAAAAAAATTAATCGATTTTGATATGTATATATCTGAGATCTTATTTTTAAGATAAGAAAATATGTTTACTAACAAAATAATCTTTTCAATTAACCGTTATTAGATCTCTCAATTGTTTATATAAAAAAAAAGCAAATAAATTCATTATTGTCCCCACATTATGATCATAGGTAGAATTGGTCACCAATCCTTGTACTTTCTTGTTGGAAACCAATTAACGAAAAAGAAAAAATTAAAAAGGGGAGAAGAATAATAATGAGGAAGAGATATAGTCATGTATAGATATGATTGCATCAACCAATAATTTGAAGTTGATATGGGAAAAAAGGAGTGGAGAAGAAGAAGAAGAAGAAGGGAAACCCACCAACAAATATTCATGCAATGATGATTTCATGATCATTTCAAACACAACTTTTCCACCTTAATTGACTGCCAAAAAAGTGCATCCCATTGTTGAATTCAATAGTAACTTACTAACCATTACTTCCAATTCTGGTCCTTCACCCATATTTTTAAAATAATTCGGAGTATCGAGTAGGGTAAGGCAAAATGTGACCATGTTTACGATTATTTAACCTTTAGTAATATTGATGATTATAATTACTATTTGTGCATATAAACAAGGGAGAGTTAATCAAAAAGGCTAGGCGAGTTTAGGTCTAAAGTACTCCAGCGTCCTTTCCCTTCACATTCGTTGGTATACACCGAAAGAGAAAGGGTAATGTCAATATCCAAACCCTAACAGTTAAATTAATATTTGTAAGTTTAGGGTAGACCTAGGAGAATGAGGAGAGGCCTAGGGACAAATAGGTTAAAATAAAATAAACTAGTATTAACCTTAAAACGATGATGTGGTGGGATGCGTAAAGTTTAAGCCCCAAAAAGATTCATAAACTATAAATAAAATATAAGTGGATGGAAAAGGTTGTAGTGAAGCAGATAATGCAATGTCAGGCACGCATATGCATTAGGCATAGGCAGCAGTCAAAGGAAAAAGAAAGCGAAAGGATGATGTTTGGCCTTTAACACATCATAAAACTCTCACTTCTTTTGGTGTCTATTGGTCCCAACAACAATTACCTTTTGTCATCTCCAATGAATTTATCAATGTGAAAGTGAAACCCTTTTTTCTTTAGCTTTGGGTTTTTGGTTTTTTGTTTTTTTTTTT